CCAGAGGTCCCTGCCAACCCCGACCAGTCTGGGATTCTGTGGGTTCACCCCTCTCTCACTTCCTCCCTCAGGTTTCCTCATCTTCCTCTGGTACTGGACCATGGTGGTGCAGGCGAGAAAGTCCCCTGACTTGCAGAGCAGCTCTGACAGTGTCAAACTGCAACCCAACAGCAGCCAGAGCCACCTCGGCTGAACCCCGTGATGGCTGTGCCGTGCTGTGCCGGGGCTACCCGCACAGAGGACAGCCATGGGAAGGACCGATGCTGTCCACTTTGCTACTGCACCTGCCTCACAGGGCTGCTGGGAGCCCAGGGACCTGCAGCGGGGCCAGCCGCCCCTCACCCCTGCCAGCCCTCTCCCCAATTGTCCTACCCCACCGCGTCCTGTCAGGCAGCGGCACATCCCTTGGCTTGGCATCCTTGGGGCAGGAGGGAGGGATGCTCACCTGGGCAGCGAGGGCTGCGGAAAGCAGACGGGGCAGGGACAGGGTCCCCAGTGCCTCCAAATGTCTCCTCCCATGTCCTGAAGCCAGGATGATGGGTGGGAAGGGCCCCATCTTCACCCCTTGCTGGTGGTCACCGAGAGGGTCCTTTCTCAGTGAAGACAGAATAACTCTGCCCCTGCAACATCCTGTAGCAGCTGAAATAATCTATTTTTGTTATTTTGTTGAATGTCTATTTTTGGATGGCATAGAAGTTTGAGCGTGCCCACACACCAGACTTATGCCCATTAAAGTTGTTCCTGCTTGGAGCGCGGCTCACCGGGGTCTCTGTGCCAGGCGTGTTCGTGGGGTCTCCGATGGGCTCCGTCCCTCGGCTGGGGTTGTCCCAGGCCCGGGGCAGGACCCGACATTTCATCCTGTAGCATCCTGCCGACTTGGGACCGGTAACGGCGTGCCGGCAGCCCACCGGCAGCCCGGTGCCGTAGGGGTCAGGGTGGTGGAGGGAGATGCCACGGCTCGGGAAGCTGCTGTGGTCTCCAGGGACCATCGCTACCCAGTGACGAGGGAGGCCAGCACAGGACGGGAATCTGAAGAGGGAGAGTTCGCAGGATGGGAATCCACCTCCCTCAGTGGCTGAGGGGCCAGGCAGAGCGCGGCTGCCCTTGCAAGCACAGCACCGTGTCTCCCATCCCGCCAGTTCCCCTTCCGGATGATACTCCACTGGCGGCTCATCCCCCTCCACCCGTGTCCCCACTCCTGGCCGGGGCAGGGGGACCTGCCCGGGAAAGGGGTGCTTCGTCCCGCTGGCTCGTGGCAATGCCCGGCGGCGTGCCTGCTTTGGGAGAGGGATGCTCCAACGCGTCACTGGGCTGGTGGGGGCCATCGACTGAGGATTTGGCAGGATGGGGGGGTCGAAGGGGAAAGAAAAAAGCCCTGTGTCAGCTGAGGGGGAAACGACCCGGCTCTGACGGTTATCGCCGTTGCTGCGAGCTGTGGTAGGAGGTCACTTGCCGTTGCCTCAGGAGCAGCCACAAGCCCTGGGGGAGCCCCGGGAGGAGCAAGAGCCAGCGGGACCTGGGGAGCAGAGCACCGTGGGATGGCCAGGGGCGGCCAGGAGACCCCACAAAGCACCATGAACATGCTGCTGCGCACCATCCTGCTGCTCCTGCTGCTGCCCGGTGAGTGGGGTGAGGGGGATACGGGCTCCCCCGGCATGGGGGGTACCTGGGCTTCGGGGTAGGTTTTCCCATGTGAAAGTGACCCAAAGACCATGGCGGGGTTTCACCCTGAAACGTGGCCAGGCCAGAAGGGAATGTTCCCCCCAGGACGTGCAGAGAGCTGGCAGAGGCGAGCGGGGCGGAGGGGTTCGCTGCCGGGGGCTATTTGAGAACTCTGGACTGGCAGCCCAGGGGGGCCGTGAGCTGCCCCGGGGGGCTGCACGCGGGGATGTGTCAGCGCAGGCACAGCGGCTTTGCCTTCACCAGCCCCGAGGGCTGTCCAGCTGCTTTTTGAAGCCCATGTGACTGTAGGGCTGCTCCTTTATAACCTGGCAGCTGCCAGATTCTCCTGCCTCCCCCTTCCCCTGGGGAGGACTGATTCTAGATTTTGGGTTTTTCCTCCCATTTCCCCACGTGCTCTTCTTCCAGACGCTGCTAGGGGACAGAAGAGCTGTGACAGTGAGTAGTCCCCCCCATCCCTGCCCTTGGCTCCGGTGCCTGCCCGGTGCCGTGGCGCCCAGCGGTCACCCCGCTCCCCTCCTCCCCAGCCCTGAAGCGGGGTGACCAGCACCACCGGTGCTGCAACACGGAGGAGTTGGAGAAGGAAGGCGACGAGACCCTCAGCCCCGACTTGCCCCGGCACTGCCCAGAGCTGCGGCGCTCCGGCAGCCCCGCTTGCGCCTGCCTGCGGGACCGTTGGCTCAGGTAGTGGGCAGGGGTGGCCATGGCAGGGCTTGGGGGCTAAGCCCCCCATCTCCCCCGGTCCCACAGCCTTCCTGCCCTGCAGGCTGATGCAGTCGCCGAGGCCAGTGCTACATGATGGGCTGGCTGGGGAGAACATGCTGCTCCTGAACGTCAGCAGGGCCATCACTCATGATGTCCTCATCACCTTCTCCCCCACGGAGGTGAGATGTGCCCCTCTCTCTTGCCTGGAAAGCCCTACGCCTTCCAAGCACCCTCCTCGGCCCCTGCCCTGGGGCTTGGTGTGCCACGGTGCGCTCTTCCCCCACCGTGCTCCACAGTGGCGTCATGGACCCACATCAACTTTTGGCATCACTTGCCAAGGAGTCACCTGAAATGGTGCTTGGGAGGGCAGAGCCCTCCCTGAGGAGCCGTCCCAGCAGCAGGCAGGTGGTTGGGGGCAGGGCAAGGAAGAGGAGGACCATGTGGGACCTTGCGCCTCCTGCCCACCCCCAGGGTCTCCCCTTCTCTGGATGTCCCAGGGGACCATGTCCCATGGGGTGATGGTGGGTTGATGCTCTCCTGGGAGCTGCTCCCAGCTCTGCCCCTTCGCTGCTGGGCGCTGGGGATGAGGTTCTCCCCTTCTGCCCCTGGGGCTCCTGCTGATGTTGCTGAGCAAAACCCACCTGGGCAGGGCTGAATTTGTGCCTGGAGCAAGATCGGTGGGTCCCGAGCAGAGAGGTGATGCTGCCAGCAAGCAACCTCTCACCGCCGTTCTGCACTGCAGGGCCCCAGGATGCAGAACACGACAGAGGAGGGGAAGACAGGCAAAATCCAGCTGCCCAGGGAGATATTCCAGTCCCTGAGCAGCTCGACAGTGCATGTGGTGGTGACGGTCCTCAACATCCAGCAGCTTGGCATGTTTGAGGTATGAGCTGGCATTGCCAGCGTCCCTCTGGCCACCAGCACTTGCCACCGGCCAGCTTTGCTCAGGCAGCGTTTCCCTCACACAGGAGGTCAACCAGACGGGGCAGGTCCTGGACAACATCGTGGTGGGCATCATGGTGGGAGAGACCAGCATCTCTGGGCTGCAGGACCCCATTCAGCTCACCTTTGCCCATGAGCAGCTGCCCAGTGTAAGCCAGCCATGCCCTCCCTCCATCTCTCCTCCGGTGGCCCTCACCATGGTGTTGGCTGATACTGCTCTCGCCCCTTGCAGGGTGTCACCCCGCAATGTGTCTTCTGGGATCCCAGCAAAGGTATGGTCCTCAGTGGGGCCAGGTGCAGGCCAAGCACGGGTGCTTTGCCCAGAGCTCATGGCTGTTGCCCTGTGCCTGTTGCAGGGCAGGCAGGAGGCTGGAGCAGCAGTGGATGTGTCACGCAGCCTGGCGACAAGAGGACAGTCTGCTCCTGCGACCATCTCACCTTCTTCACCCTCCTCCTGGTGACAACCCACTCCCCGCAGCTCCTGCTTCTACCCCAGCTGTGCTGCCTGCCCCACCTTGGTGGCCCCTTGGGTGTCATGAGTCAGTTATAGTTGCTCCCAGGCAAGCCCAGGTCCCAAGATCAAGCCCAGCCCCAACTCAGGAGGGGGCGGCAGCAGCTCAGCAGAGTGGTTACAGGGTGGAAACGGCCCCCAGCCTACTGCAGGCTCTGGAGCAGCAAGGCTTGAGGTCCCATCTCCTGGTGGAGGCTCCCAGGAGGGTGCTCATGGTGGTCCACCATAGCCTTTACTCATCCCACCCCAGAGAGCATCTCCTATGAGCCGCCACCACCACCTCACTCCCCCTGAAGACCTTCTGGGGGGACAGACCAGGGGCTTGTGTGGGGTGCCTGCAGCAGCCCACCGGGGTTATCAGCCCTGTGGCTCTGGTAGCTGCAGTCAGGTTTTCTAGGTTGGTCTAGGACCTGTCTAACCCAACGTGTGCGTGTTTGGCAGAACCCAGCTCTGGACAGGTCCACAGCAAGAGCCTTGATGGCTGCTGCCACTGCTGGCTGCGGGGTAGCTGTGGCTTTCTCTATCTTCACCATTACCTTCTGCATCTTCTTGAGGTAGGATGTGCCAGCAGCTCCCTGGCGACTCGTCAGGCTGGGAGCCATGTGGGGCAATGACCGTGCCTCTGCATGAACCTGCTGCGATACGGCATGGGGCCCTGCTCAGCTGTGGACCCCCCCATCTCTTCTGTTCCCTCTGGGAATGCGCAGGTGCAGGTTCGGGTCTGAGGAGAACCTCCGCGTCAACCTGGGACTCCATATGAACCTCATGGGCAGCCTGCTCCTCCTCAACCTGGCCTTCCTGCTCAACAGTGGGCTCTCTGCTCGGACCCAGCTGGGAACCTGCAAGGTCCTGGGGGGGTTCACCCACTACTGCCTGCTCTGCTGCTTCACCTGGATGGCGCTGGAGGGCTGTCACCTCTACCTCCTCTTCGTCAAGGTCCTCGGCACCTACATCCACCACTACCTGGCAAAGCTGTGCCTGGTCGGCTGGGGTGAGCACCACCAGCCTGGGCGAGAGCTGGGGGGGACAGAGGGGCGGTGGGTTACAACCGGAGGGGGAACAGGATGGTGCAGTGATGGGCCGAGAGTGAGCAAGCCCACCTCCTGCCCACAGCTCTTCCAAATGCTGGTCAGGGCCAGGAAGTGTCTTATATGGGCTTGGTGCAGCAAATTCAGGGTGGCACCCGCAGGCACCCTCCATCCTGGTGGGCACCAGCCTCCTGCTCATCGAGCAGGTGATGTCCTCTGGGCTCTTTGTTCCCCCATTGCCAGCCCTCCACAGCACCTTGGGGGGCACCGCAGCAGATGATCCCACAGAGAGGTTAAGGGACACCTCGGGCCTCACCGCCCAGCGCTGTCCTTCCCTCTCCTTCCCAGCAGCGACTGTTGTGCCCCTGTCACTTGTGCAACCTCACCAGGTCCCTAACTAAGCCCCATCTTCCCTGAGGTCAGCACATCCAGGGACATGCAGAGACCCCAAGCCGACCACCTCGCCTGCTGCTTGCCTTTCTGGCCTGCTCCACGTGTCTCCCTTGTTCTTCCAGGCTTCCCCGCTCTCGTGGTGGGGGTGGCAGGAATCATCGGTAGCTACGGAGAATACATCATCCAGACCACGGACCACCAGGTCATAGCCCACCTGTGCGTGTGCCGCCACCACCACAAGGCTTAGGCAGCCCTTTGGCACGGGGAACGGTAACCTCGTCCTGCCGGGAGCACGGCAGCGGGGGAGTTGCGCCCATCCTGCTCAGCTTTACGTCGTGCTTCTGCTTCCCTAATTGTGATTACAACATAGCGGCTTACAGCTGTGGTAACCGCCACCACCACCACCTCTTGTGCTGAGCCTGCTCCATCATGCCCGCAGGCCTCCAGGTCACGGAGGGACACCCAAGGGCCACCTGGAGCTTCCTCAGGCTCCCTCCCAGCTGAGCAACACAAGGGCAGCAGATCTGCCCCACTGGCCCCCCTGCTTCACCCTGGCCTTGGAAAAGGCCACCCACGGGCACAAGGGTGTCCCTGCATCCCCAAAAATGTCCCCCTGGGGAGGGTCCCACGGGTGCTGCTGGGGCTAGCAGAGCTGCTGGAGGCACTGCGGTTGTCTCTTTTTCAGGTGCTGGATCACTTCCAAGTATCTCCTGGTCCACTATATCACCAACTGCGGCTACTTCGGCCTCATCTTCGTCTTCAATATGGCTGTCTTTGGGGTGGTGACCCAGAAGAGCTGCTGCCTGCAGGGCACGGGGGCGATGCATCGGGACCGCAAGGCCTGGAAGGTGGCCCTGGTGGCGGTGGGGCTCTTCTGCCTGCTGGGAACCACCTGGGCCCTGGCGTTCCTCACCCACAGCACCTCCTCTGCACCCATGCTCTACCTCTTCACCATCCTCAACTCTGTCCAAGGTCAGGGCCAGCTATGAGCCAGGCTCCCTGGGCTTGGGTGGGGAAGATGGAGGAGGCAGGAGCCAGCGTGGCAGTGGGTTGACCCTTGCTAGTCCCAAGGCACCAGCATGTTCCCAGCACTGTCATGCCTTTCCCTTTGGCAGGGCATGTCAAGTAGCAGGTCCCAGCCACCGGCGTGGAGCTGGTCATGGCTCCCAACCATGTCCACTCCACCAGGGGTGGGTTTCCTCCAGGGAAGCCACTCCTCAGCAGAGGAACAGGGACATTATCCACCCAGGGCATGTCTCAGCCAAATAGCTCACCTGAAGCATGGTGAGAAGACCCTCCTGCAGGAGCAGGAGTGAGCTGGGGGAATCCCCTGGAAGCAGCAGGGAAGTGCCGGCAGCATCCCAGCAGGATGCTTCCCACTGTCTCCTGCTGCTGCTGAGTGTCTGCCTTCTTTCCCTGCAGGAATCTTCATATTCATCTGGCTGGTCGTCCTCTACTACCCGAAGACAAAGGAGACCACTGGCTCCCTCTCCCACATCATCAGACATGACAAAACCATCACAGTCTCCCAGGACTAGCTGCTGGCTGCACCTCCCTCTCCACCTGTGCATGCACCTGCTGAGAGCAAGCTTTGATCCCGACAGATGCACCTTCCCCACGGAGGACGAGGGCTCAGTTTACCGTGCCTCAGTTTGTCCTTCGGTGGGCAGGATCCACCTTAGCAGGGCTCTCTGCTTCGGCCCCTTCCTAGTGGTTTGCCTTGGGCAAGGAGCTCTGGAGATGTCCCTTCTGCCAAAGTCCCTCCAGGCTGCAGATCCCCTCTTGTCTCGAGGTGCCCCGATCTCATTCCCCAGGGGCTCCTGTGGGGCTGAGGAGGGAGCCCGTGAACCACCTGCCTTCAGCCAGGATGGAGCCATCCCTCTCATCGCTGGAGATGGCCTTTGTGCCGGACCAGCCTGGCGGTGGGTTTTCCTGCTGTTGGAGGTGGGAGGATTGACTCAGGAGGATAAGGTCTGGGAATTAGCAAAAAAGGGGAAATCCCACGAGCTTCTTCGCAATTCTTCCTCTCCAAATGGACTGGGGCTGAGCTCTTTGGGCTGGACGTCCCTGCTGCAACACGCCCTCAGGCCAGCAACGATTTCTGCAAGGACACTGTGCTTCAGCCAAATGTACACACACAGCCGCCTTCCAGGGAAAACACCCGTCTTCTCCTTATCTGTGTTCTACTATTAAATCTCTGCCAGACATCTGAGCACTGTGGATTTAGTCTTTGATGTTTACACTATTGTTAGTTGCTTTATATTAGGGATGTATTGATGGGCAAAAATCTTGCTGGCAATTTGTCATGAATGAAAGGAGAAATCTGTCATGAATGAAGAAATCTGCAGGGATAGGTGTATATACGCACGCGCGTGCACACACAGAGCAGCCCTTTCTCTGCTAATGCTGCATCAGTGTCACACAGAACCACGCAAAGTCCAGCTTTGGTAGGCAAGTATTTCGTGTGGGTACCTCCATCCCCATGTGCCTGGGTGACTCTCTGGGGAGAAGGAAAGCAGGAGGAAGGAACCTCCCATTCCTGGGTACGTTTTGAGTCTAGGGAGCGTGGGCCGGGAGGGGATGGGAAGGTCCTAGGGGTGCTACAGGAAACAGAAACTCTCCAGTGTGACTCAACCTTCAAGCACCATTTGCATCCAACCATCGTCTCCTTCCCAAAAAGCGCCTGTAATGCCACAGGCAAGAGCTTCTCTGCTACTGTCAGGTTTATTTGGAAACAGCTGTTCTCTACGCCGTTCGCCGCTTCGTGCCGACAGCTGCAGCAGCCCCAGCGAGCCCACCAAGCACACACACCCCGGGGAGCCACAGGTTGGGGCCTGCTGAAGAGGAGAAAGGTTGGTTACACATCTGGGTCCTTCAAGCCAGCGCTGAACCCTGGCACGGCATCTCCTGGCCGGGGGCAGATTTGGGGGAGGTCATCTCCTGTGAAGGGTAAGGGCCACCAGAGTGGGGGTGCTTTGGGGCACTAACAGGACTTGGTCTACCCAATTGGCCTCACCTGGGGCCTCCACCCCCCTGCCCAGGGGCTCCATTTAGCTCAGCATTCATGCCTGGTCTGAGCTGTGCTGTCGGTGGGCTTGCCCCCAGCCCTGGTCCTGGACCTCCCTGGATCCCGTGGATTGACCCTCGGTGCTCGGCAGGAGCCTGCCTGGCTGGGTTGATGTGAAAACCCAGCCTTCCTCGCCAGGGGTGCTGCCTTCTGGCTCCCGGTCCCTTCCCACCCAGCTGCATTGCTCAGCCCGACCTGTGCCTGGTACGGAGCTGCTCACGCAGAGCTAACCTCTCTGTACTGGTTTGGCTCCTGGAGCACGCTGTGCATGGCCGTGACATCTGAAAGACTCCTCACTTCCGTGCTGGGTAGTGACTTTAGCAGCCCTTTTTAATAACCTGGCATTGCCTAGAAAGTTGCAAGGGTCTGTACGTACATACGTCATACGTACCCTCCAGGTCCTGTTGGTCAGTCCTGGAACGGGAGGTCTCTGCTCCCAAAGAAGGAGCAGCCAGCAGATGGATGGGCCCGTAGGAGACAATCTTATTGTAGTCATCTGCCAGTGCCCGCTTGCTCCTCCAGTGCCTGGGGCATTGCTGTCAACAAAGACAAGGGAAGGGGGGTGGGACCAGAAGGCAGGGGAGAAGCCTGCTCTGGGGGGACAAGAGCTGTCCTGGTGGTCTCCCCCAGCGGAGGCACAGCTGGGGCTGCAGCCTGGAAGCAGTCAAGACCCCAGAGGATGAGAGGAGCTGGTTCCTGGCATGGTTCCTGGACCTTAGCCTAGCGTAAAGCTCTCCTTCTGCAAATACCCAACAGACAGAGGGAAGAGGGAAAGGAGGTCTCTGGTGGGTTCAAGCTCTTGTACCTTTAGTTCAGGGGTGAGCTCCTGCTGTTGGGAAGTGTTTATTGTGCTGAGACACCCGGAAACAGAGCAGAGCCCCTTCTCCAAACAGCAGGCCAAGGCAAGGGAGGTCCCCCTGCACGGCCAGGGCATGGTGCAGATCACTGGGAGAGCTTACCTTGGCACAGGGCTCCGGGCTGTCGGGGAGACAGAGCCGGACACGGCAGTGCAGGAACACCTCAGAGTAACCAACAAACTGAAACATCTGGAAGCTGAACTTGGCAGTAGTGCTCTCTCCAATGGCATTCAGGTATGTCACTGTCTCGTCATGGGGACACCTGGGACATAATGACTGAGTCAGCAGGTGGCAAACAACGGGGAGCATCCCAGCCTGGGACAGCAGAGCATACAGGCACCGGGTGCAGCCCCCAGGCTTTGCTAAACAGGACTATTTCTGTCTCGGCACCAGTGGGGATGCCTTTCCTTGACACCCTGCGTTGTGCTCAGGGACGGGCTGCCACCAGCACAGGAGCTGGCTTGTGTCTTGCTCTGTGGGGCCACAGCTGCTCTGCAGGGGTGGAGTGGGCCTGGCTGTGGCTCCCACTTCCCAAACATCCACGTTACTGGCTTTAGCTTGGCTGCAGCCACCTCTAATACAAGCTCTTCAGCAGATACCTCTACGCACATCCCAGCAAGGTCTCCCCTCTCCCCTCCTCGCCCTTTGCCTCCCCAGCTGACCAGGAGCGATGCTAGAGGGAAGGCAGCACTGTTGGCAGCAGAGCAGGGTGAGGAGAGGGGGATCAGTTCAGAGCACTCAGGGGGCTCATCTATGAGGCTGGTCCACTTATTCAATGATGGTGTCCACCACAGGTTCATTGCTCCCTCACAGCAACCTGTTCTTAGCACCCAGCAAAGAAATGCGATTGTGCTCATGCAAGGAGACCAGATGCACTTCACTCACCCCTCCTCAATAAGCTTGTGCCGCATGTCCTGGTAGGGGTCAGAGCTTGGCGTGGCCCAGCAGTCCTCAACGCTCAGC